GGATCCCACTTGGGGTGGCCAAAGAGGGGTCAGGATTGAGTCGGTGACCTGGTCCCACCAGGGGAAATATCACACAGGAAGAAGGCAGTAAAGTGCTTCCAGAGAAGGAGGGGGCCTGCCTGATCCTGGAGGAGTGAGTAGAAAGTGGAGGGCGGGCTGGGAAAGGGGGACAGCCAATGAAGGGTCACCAGAGTCCTGGGAGAGGTGCCCCTAACCCTCTCGCAGTAGGGGGGCATCCTACACGGGCAGGAAGATGCCAGTCTTGCCTCGGACAACTACATGCTGAGATGGTTTATTTCTTTAAAGTCCTGTCTTAAAAGTGGGGACATTTTCTCACTCTGAAGGCTCAGGGGGACAGTTCCTTCATTACCAGCAAAGCTCGGTGCACCACTTTCCTAGCCCCAGTTCCTCTCCCACACAATCACCACCACCAAGAAAACAAAAACACAAAACACAAAACACCACCGCACCGACCTTTGCACAATTTCCTTTCATCCTGCAAACTTCTGTCTGCCTCCGCTGCCCCCCACCCAAGGCAGGCCCGGTTCGCTTCAGCCGAGCCTCTTTGCCCTTTTCCTAATAAAGTCCACTTCCTCGGCGCTGGAGGCAGTGGAGGACCGAGGGTACGAGGCGGCCCAAGACGTGGGAACGGCCCCTCCAAGCCTTCAGCCCCGGCCACACGTCCGGGCTGTAGGGTTGATCCCCGTCTGCGTGGCCGTGTCGGGGGTCCCCGAGTAAAAGGGCCACTGTCACCGTGCTCCGAAGAGACCGACAGGGTCGGACAGAGGCAAGCTCTCGGCCGCGCCAGGGCCCGGGCGCCAGAGACCCGCCTCGGAGGTAGCACGGGAGGAGGGGGCTGAGGCGGGCTGCCGGGGACGGGGACTCTCGCTATAGCCCGCGGCCCCAGGGGATGACACAGCGTTTCCTCCGCACCCCGGCTCTCCCCGCATGTCCTCGTTCCATCCCCGGCAGGGCACCAGCCGGCCGACTCGCTGCGTCAGCGGATCCCCCGCTGGAAAGGACAGGGGTGGCCGGGGCCGCGGGGACCGCTCGGCTAGTGGCCCTAAACCATCGCGCCCTGCGGACCTGGCTTGGGGGTCGAGGGCTGGGAGCATGACCGCGAGGTGCGGACGCTGCCCGGGAGCTCCGCCAGCAGCTCGCAAAAAATGCCAGTCCCCACCCACGGAAAGTTAGACGGCATCTCGGCCACGCCAACTTATCATCCAGAGCCGGAGTCGAACTTTCCGCCGGGAGTGGCTGGCTGCACAGCCCAAAGCGACCCTGCAGAAGCCGCTCGGACCCGGACGCCCCAGATCCCGGGCCGCGACCGGCAGCGACCAATCACAGAGCGCCTCCGGCGGGAAAGGCTGGAGGGCGCGGGCAGCTGAGGAGTGACGGCACCGGCGGCCAATAGGGAGCTAAGGTGGGAGTCCTCGCCCATCCTGCTCACCAATGGGATAGGGATGGCTGGGGCCGAGGTCCCCGAGGCAATAGCTGCAGGCTCCCCGGTGGCCGCGGGTCGAAGACCCTAGGACTAAGGGGAATTGGGGAGAGGAGTTGGCTCACCCTCCCTGAGCCACCCGCCGACCCTTAGACCATAGCCCGGTCCTCACCTGCTGAAAGCGGGGTTTGCCCAGCTGGAACGGAGGTGCATCGGTCGAGGTGTTAGCGGCACTAGCCGCCGCCGCCGATGCTGTGGTCGCTGTATCCGCCATGGCCACTGACGCCTGCAATCTCCGGCCCTTTTAAAATGTCCCTCCTCGGCCCCCGCCACAGCTGCTTCTCCCGATTGGCCATAAGCAACCGCAGCGAGCCGGAGGCGCAAGGGGTTGTGGGGAGCGTAGTTTTTCCCGTCACGGTGGTTGACAACCCTAGACTGCGGAGAGTTGCACCGACTCAGACCCAGTCTCGGTTCGGGCCGCCAGATCTGCAGGGCTCGGCCGCGTGGGAAGAGTGTGCGGGTACGACTCTAAGGTTCCGACAGAGGGTCACGGGGCTACCCCTCGCCGGCTACCTGCCCCTAGAAGTTTAGTTACTGCGGAGGGCATCGCTCCTGGGGCGCCAGCCCAGAAGAGCCCTACTCAAGCGGGTCCAACCGCGGACGAGATGGGCAAGGACTCCAGAATGTGTAGGGTTAATCCCGGAAAGCTTTCGGCAAGTACTTGCACTGCGGAATCTTCACGCAGTTCCTTCTGTGACTACCTTGCCTCCTCCCCTTGTGCTCTCCAGCCATCCTGACACCCAGAGCATGCTGGGCGCTCCCCGCCCCTGACCCTTGAACATTCTGAACCCAGAGAACTCCGTAACTTATCTTTGCCTGACTCTGGCTCTCCTGACCTCAGCCTACACATTGCATTTCCTGATCCATCACCCTACTTCCCCATAATCCACTTCCGCTCCTATAGTACCCAGCACTTTTTTGCAGCCCGCGTACTTACAGTTACTTATGGTTCTGCGTATATGTTTCCTACTGTAAGGTCCACAGGGCAGGAAGTGTTCTACCGCTGAGTCCTCAGTGCCAGGCTTGGCAGGGTTTGCAGCAAGGACTCAAATATTTGCTGACTGTGTGAGTTAAACAGTGGGAGCTTCAGAGCCTGGGCAGGTTCCACTTTCTTTGTTCAACTAAGGAAGATCCCTCCCCAGTCTAATTCCCAAGCAGGAGAGAATTGGGAGTAGGGAGTGGGGTTCAGTAGTGTTTACTAAGCACTACAAGGACTTTAGGTAAGAGAGAGCAGCGCATACACAGGGCAAGACACCAGCAAGGATGATAATAAACCCACTTATGTTGTACAGAGTAGAAGATCCCTAGCTGAATTAGCTGGTCAGTGAGCCAGGCTAGGGGGAGGGGAGGAAAGCTCTCTGTTTCACCCAAGAGGACAGTAGAAATAATTTTGACCTTAGGGAATCCCACTTTAGGTCTCCTTCATCTCATGGTGAGGTGGTGAGGTGGTGAGGTGCAGCATTGGCTGGTGCCTGCCCATGTCTTTCTGGACAATGCACGCACGATCTAGAGCAGTCAGTTCCTCATCTGTCAACAAGAACCATGAGAAACAGACTATTTCTAAAGCCAGAGAGAGGTGCTAACTAGCCATGAAGAATCATTTGTATCTTGGATTTGTATCTTTCCCAGCCAGACTAAGCGGTCTCAGAATAAGAATCAGGTCTTTTACCCTCTGTATTCTCCCACAGTACTCAAGGAATGTAGGTCTCTTGGCAAAGACAAGACTGAGTCCAGGCCACTGGGCAATGCTGTGCTGCCCCTAGTGTTAGTACAGAGGCAACGACACACCTAAACCCCATCACTTGCCTTCTCCCCCAGAAAGCTCCTTTTCATACATTTATCAAAACAGGAACACCATTGAGCCACCTGCAGTATGGGAACTTTTTATTCTTCATAAAGTGCTCAAAACATGAAGAACAAGCTCTTTATAAACAGGAGTTACAACTAGGAAGACAAACAGCAAAGCAGAACTGTGCCTGCTCTCTGCCCACCCTGCCTGCAACTCTCCACGTTGTGGCCAGGAGCAGAAACATTCGACAAGAACCTTGGGCTTCAACTCACAACTCTCCTGAAGACATCCTTGCTCTGGGCATTTTGGAGGGCCATGGTCAAGGATGAGCAGAAGATCAGGGTCAGGGCTGATAATAAGTAGAGCCCAGAAGAATATGTAGTAGAAGAGGTCTCCCCTTCCCCCAGAAGAGATACCTACCCAACTCCCAATGACCCCCCAAAAACATGACCCAAGACCTGCACACCTGCGGACACTTTCTCAGCTTTGATGAGTGATCCTTAGGGTAGGTAACATTACAGGGACTTTCCCCTCATGTGTGTGGGTGGGGTCCTCTGCTTCATCCTGGCAGAAGACATCACCCATAGTGCACATTTCCTTCCAAGGCTTTCAGAGAGATCCCATAGGCCCTCTCAGGAAGAAAAGGAGGTCCCAGAGAAGCTCTTGCCTCCTTGCTGGGTCAACAGTATCCTCCTTCAGCACCTCCTCACCCCAAAACCTTTGCTCAAGCAGGGTACCCCAAGTCACTAAATGTTCCCTGCAGATGCCATGGGAAGCCTGCCATATTTTCTGCAAGCAAACCAGGGGCTGGGCCAAAGGACAGACACTTCATTTCAAAGTGCACTGCAGCCAAGCCAGGCAAGGCCACGGGCAGAAGGGACAGGCTGGGAGAGCAGCTAGCAGATGACGGGAGGGCAACAAAGGCTATTTCCTAAGTATAGGCAGAATGGGACCTCCTACTTCCAGAATGTAGTTGTTATCCCAGGAACCTTCTCAGTTGGGGTTCAGGGACGAAGAGAAGGTAGAGGAACATTAAAGGAGCAGTGGCAGCTTCGCCAGACCCTTAACTGAAATTAACTCTAGGGGAGGGGCACAGGGCACAGCAAGGCTGACCCATCCTCCTTTCCCATACCCAGGGCCTGACAGATCCAGCCCCATGTGCTCAAGAGGGAGGGAGGGGGACACCAAACAGAGAGAGAGAGAGGTCTACATCCAGAGGCTTTTGACCCCACCCACAAAAGGCACATTTTAATTGGTTTCCAAAAGTTCAAACCCCGCAGCAGCAGAGAGTTTTGGCATCTGGACAGGCAACAAAAACAAACATGGAGGGTTGATCCCCGAACATAAGCAGCCCAAAGCCCCGAGGCCTGCGGAGGGGCCCACAGCCCAGAGGTGTGCGAGGAGTGTTCTCCCCACCCTTTCCCCAGCTTTCCATGCATTCACATGAGAGATGCTCAATGGGAAGACCAGAGTAAGAGAGCGGCAGGGGCCCGGGGAATCCACATCTCCATCTCCCTTCGTCCACATGGCCCTCGCTCTGCCAACTGCTGGAAACACACAGAATCGGGTCACAGCAGAGACAAGACCAAATCATGCTCCTTGCTCTCAAGGGAACAGACATGAGGCTCCAGTTACCTAGAACTGCAAACTGGGCAGCCTGGTTCCTGCCACAGCCCCAGTAATGCTAGGAGCCCTCTAGGAGACAGACGATGACGGGGACAAGGGTTTAGCCTTGGATGAAATGACTGTTGTCGTGGGGTAATAAAGCGTGTCCCAGATGCCACATCAAATTGTTGCTCACCCCAGCTCTGTCTTGAGGGCTGAATTCTTTGTTCCAATTCCCTGGAGCCCCCAAAACTAAGGGACATGAAAATAGGCAGGTGGGAAAGACCCACGGAGGGTTCCCAAAGACACACGAATTGTACATGGAACCTGATGCCTGCAATGGGAGTCCCGAGGGCCCCTCTTTCAGCAACCCCCACAGAGGCAGGAGGCAGGGGGAGCAAGGAGTGACAATGGAGGACAGACAGCAGCCTGCCCAGGTGAGAGTGAGTTCAGTGGGAGGGAGGGCAGCGCAGGCCCGGTTTGGGCGGTGGGCCCACGTGACCCTCCCAGGGGCAGGGGTGGGGAGGGCTACTTGGGGAGGTCAGGGGGGATCTGCAGCAGTGTGGGTGAGGTCTCCATGATCCGCACCAGCAGCCGGTCAATGTAGCTCTCCAGCTCCTGCACGTGCTCGTCCCGCTGGCTCAGCTCCCGCTCCCGCTGCAGGAGCAGGCTGATGAGCTCATCGTGGGTCAGGTGGTAGTACTTGGCCGACTGGTCCAGCACACCTGAGTCCTGAGGCCGGGGAGGACAGTGAGCAGGGAGGCCTCAGGCCTACCTGCCCCACCCACCCACCAACACCCAGGTTTCACCTCTATAGGCCCCGGAGCGGCCTCTGTCTCCAATGCAAGAGACCACGTAACTGGCTTCAGGGCCCCGGCGTAGGGGACTGGGCCTGTTCTTCCCTCCACCCTGCCCGGCACGCAGCTCCTGACCTTGGGCCGCCTGGCCGCTCTCCACCGCACCACATGCCTGGCATCCTGTCGGACCTCACCTTCAGCCTCTTGGCGTCCACAGTCTGGCCCACGTTGGGGGCTGGAGCCACAGGCTGAATGCCGCCGGATGTGACCGTCTTGAGCTTCTCCAGCCCACTGCTCAGAGCTGTACTCAGACTGGAGCGGGGCTGCTTCCTGTCTGGGCTGCCCTCCACGGGAGCAGCACTGAGCGGCTTCACGGGGTGGGGACTGCGGAGACAGAAAGGAGAGGCATTATGGGGAGCGGGGAGCAGCATAACGGAAACAGGGGTTGGGGGGCGCACCAGCACTTGGCTGCAGCTGCCCCGCACCACAAGGCCTCAGGGCAGCTGCCACCAGTGCTCCTCAGCAGGCCTTCCTCCCTCCTCCCTCACTGCTCTCCTCACTCCTCTCCATTTTACTCCCTCAGAAGGCCTGCCCCCCTCACAGGAGCAGCACAGCCTGGCCCACGACCTTCCTAGCACCTCCAGCCAGTCTCTACCAGGACCACCCCCTCTGCTTCCCTCCCTCTACCACACTGTAACCTTTCTCTAGGGGACTGACCGACCCTTCCAGGGTCCCCATTTTCCCATGACTCGGGACTCACAGGCTGTGGGGCTTTCAGTGCTAAAACCTGGAAAGACTTGGGGAACCTGGGACACTTTGCTGTTGTCTCTAAACCTGGTTTTTTCCCATCAGCGTTGACAATGGCCCAAGAAAGACACCTGGCTATCTGCCCTCAGTCATGCCCCAGCTCCCCTTCCTCTTTTACCCTGCCCCACCAGAGCACACAGACTGCACTATCTCTAGAAGTTCTTACCTTTTGTTGATTCCTCAACCCATCAGAATGGGGACCTTGGCCCCGCCAGCCCAGCACAAGTGCTCCTGCAGAGCCCACCAACCCCTCAGCTCTCCATTCACTGACCTCTCTGTGGACTTGACTCCTGGACCACTCCTTGCTTTGGCCTGCTCTCCCTCATTTCCCACCAAGACCTCCATCTGGTTTTCTGACTTCTCGCAGTCTCTTCTCAGTCTTAACCACTAGCCTGTCCTTGGATCCCTTCCTTTCCCACCTTGGCCCCCACCGCCCGTAATGTCATCCCCAGCCTACAGCTCTAGGCCCACACAGAATTGGAGGCTGGCTGGCTCCACTCTGGGTCCAGCTTGGGTGCACGGCACTGGCCTCTACACCTATCCTCTCCTGCGTCCCCCCTCCCAGCAGCGTATGGCTCTAGCCAGACCCCCGGGAATCCCTGATTCCCGGGCCTCAGCTCCAGGGCTAACAAACATTGAACCTACTGCCTCTCAGCTTCTCTCGAACTGGCCCCTTTGCTCCCCGTCAGTGCTGGCTACACCACCTTTGGCTACACCTGCTGCCACTCATCTCCTCAGAGGGAGTCTTGGCCACCTCCAACCACTGCTCTATTCTAATGGGAGGGTGATCTCAGCTTTTTCGATGTTCAAACAGCCTCCACTGGCTCCCTATCAGATAAGAAAACACAGTCTCTAATAGAATCAGGCCCTGCCCTTTCTTCCGGGGCCTCCACTCCACACACTGCCGCAAACCAGGAAAAGCGCTCTTTCTCACCTTCAGGCGGTCCCGCTGCACAACACCTGCCCTTCGCCTGCCGGCCTTTCGCCTGCTGGCCGGCTAACTCCTCCTCGTGTTTCAAGGCAATGCAAGGCCACTTCCTCTAGGAAACTTTCCTGATTCCCCTAAGCTGACTACAGGGACCCCGCTCTGGGATCCCTCAGCACCCCAGACCTGTGACAGGTATGCAAACTGCTAGCACCGGACCCCAAATCAATTAACCTTTCCCCAAGGGACCTCTTAAAATCTATGGTCAATTTACAGAGCTTTTGGACTATTTAGAAATAGGAAGCAAAATGATTTAGGCCAAGGCCCTGGACTCTGTCAGAAGAGGGACAGCCTGGACCCAGAGAAGCCAGTTATGTTACTCAGGATAGGGCCATGGATTCCGGGGACGAGTGGCAGAGAGGCCAGGCGGGGGGCCGACAACAGGGAAACCAACGTCTCTCCTCCCACCTAGGAGTCTGCATTAGGGACAGGAGCTTAAAAGCTGCTCTCCTGCGACCCGCAGACTGTGCCCGGGGAGGGAAGGAATAGCCGGATGGCGTATGGAAACCCTGAATGGGTCCTGAACTCTCAATCAGATTGGCCCCACACATCGGAGGGACCCTGGACCCCAGAGCTCTTAAGACCATTTCCTCCTCTGAGAAATGGGGACAGCTCTATTTGGCCCATCTACTTGAGGATGAAGGGACATGCTGAATTCAGACATGAAGCCCACTATAAAGGGAATGAAGCTTCCCAAAGGTAGTTAGTATAATCAGAAGTGAGACTAGAATACAGCAGGGCCAGCTAAGGATGCTCTCATCACTACAAGGACACCGTGACCACCTCCTCTTCCCAACCTCTGGGGACGGCTTCACTACGTGCCACTGGCACAGCAGCCCAGGGTAGCCCAGACTCTTTCCCTCACACTTCTCATGTATCAGCAGGGGCCCCCTCGGCCAGCTCCTCATGGGTGCCTGTCTGTCTCCCTCACTGGATTGGGAACTGTCCGGGCACACCGTGGGGACAGCGTCCCTCATCTCTATGCAGTGTCTGACACAGCGTGGAGGTGCAGTGAACTGGGGTGACTACATGTATGAGCTGGCAGGCAGGGGCTCCGGTCCAGGACCCCCACCCTGCCCTGCTCAGCAGAAAAAGCAGCCGCCTCTGCTCCCCACACTTCTTCAGTCAGGGCTTCTCGGGTACTAGCCTCCTACTGGACTTCGCAGCCCCCATCAACTCCAAGCGACCTGTGTCTCCTGACCTCAGCTCTGTTCATCCCTCACCAATCAACCTATTGGGGAGGTCACAGCCTCATCATTCTTCTTAAACAAACCAATGCCACAGTGACCACAATCACAGAGGCATCCAGAGGCCACGCAGGCCCATCTTAAGCACCTAGAGACCACTCCCTGAAAAGGCACAGACGCAAGCCAGTGAGGCACCTGATGGGGCTACAGACCGCTTCTTCTGGGGGCAGGGGCGTGGTCGTTTCATTTTTCTTTTTGTCCTCTAAACAGCTCTTGGGCTTTCTCTCCAACAGAGCTCGGTACCAGTCCCTCCTCTGGCTCTCTGCCTCCCACAGCCCACTTCCCTGTGGCCCCCATCTGACAAGCGTCACTGCCCCAGCACCCAGCACGCCTCGCAGCCAAGGGCCTAAGCTCTTCTCCCCCTTCCCCTGCCAGCCCACACTGGCTCTGCCCACTCCATTCCTCACTCCTTGCACCTCAAACTTTGCGGGGCACTCTGCTTGGCCAAGGACCCTGAGAGAAGACAGCTTCCAAGCCAGTCTCACTGAAGGGCTCCATTCTTCAAAGCTTCCCCTCTCCTGCCTTTCGGGAAGAAATGCTCCATCTGCCCCTGGAAGGGCTGAAGCGGGAATGTGAACACCTCGGCCCCTGGGCTGATTTGCCCCCTTTTCCCATCTTCTCCTGCAGAGTCTTCTCAGGGTGACAGCTCACCTGGCGCTGGACTGTGGCTCCTCAGCTGGTCGTGTCTCCAAGGGCAGAAGCACAAGCGGGGAGGCTGGGGTGGTTGCAGCGTGGTCTTCCCTGGGTGGGGCAGGGGAGCCCCCGGGGGACGAGGCTGGCTCCTCAAGGGTTGGGGAGGAAGAAGTCAGGGGCTGAGCTCCAGGCAGAGGGGAACATGGAGGGCTGGGCCCCCCATGATGGTGACCGGCCCAGGGCGGGAGAGGGGGTGGTGGAAAAGCGGGCTCTGGGGGAGTGGGCAGCTCTTCTGGACCAGAGAGGATGGAAGGTTCCCTGGACCCTGGAGGGGATATGGACGGGAGACTGGGGGGGGTCTTGGCTCTCCTGAGACAAGAAGGGGTTCAAGGCGTCCTCCTCTGATGCCCAGAGGTCAGTGTGTTGGGAGCTATCTGGCAGGGGTCCAAGCCCCTCTTCTACTGGTCCCTGCCTCCGGGCCTCAGGACCCTCAGGGCTTTCTCCTTTCTCTGGAGCCCCCCAGATCTGCGGACTCTGAGGAGCCACGCTCTCTAAGTAACAGGGTACGGGGGTGGGACCCTCAGGGCAGCTGGTGGGCGGAGATAAGGGCGGCTGAGGCACGGGAGGGCCGGCACCCTCCGCTATATCTTGCAGGCCTGGCCCACCCGGCAGGGTTCCGGAAGAATGGCTGTCAGACTCTGCCCCCGGTGTCTGGCCCTCCTCCTTGGCCTCCCGTGGACCAACAACCAGTGGACTTGGAAGGCTGTCTTCTCCTCCTGTCTCTGCCCCCCTGCTTCTCAGCCCCACTGCAGCAGCCGCCACCACTGCCACCTCCTCCTCCTTCTCCTGGGAATCTGAAGGCGTGAAGAGGCGTGGTGGCTTGGGAGGTGGCCTGCCGGGCTGCGGCTCCCTGTCCGACACCTGCTCAGGTTTGCGCTCCGGCTCCTGGGGGACAGGCCCCTTGCTCTCCCCAGGGCTCACAGGTTCTGGTGACTCTGGCTGCATCTGCTCATCCGACTCTCCCCGCAGGACTGGTGAGGACGTCTCGGCTACAGGAGAGATGGTGACCACATCCCAGGGCCACGAATCGTCAACTGTATTGAGCTCGAGCGAAAGCTGGCCTTCGCCTCGGGAGGCTGCCTCTTGGACCTCAGGGGCGTCATTGGGACCAGGCAGCCTTTCCCACACACTGATCACTTCAGGGGAGCTAAACAGAGACGTCGCACTGTCTGCCGGACTCTGCCCTGCATCCGCTCCAGGGGCTGGCGGCTCCCTGTCTGCTTCCGAGTCTGCAGCTCTTGGCTGTAGCTGGGCGGACGAAGAGGGCAGGCTGGCCCCAGCTGGCCCCAGGGGCCCCAGCTCAGCCACACTGCTGCTCCGGCGGTCCAGTCCCAAGTCCAGAGGAAGCCTGGGCTCCAGCCACATGCTGCTTCCACCTCTTCCTCCTCCCCCAGGGGCCCCCCGGGGCTCAACCGCCTTCACTGTCACTGCCCCGCGGCCTTGCTCCTGCGGCCCAGTCACCTCCAGCCCCACTCCTCCTGCAGGGGCCAGGATCTTGCTCCTGGCCTCTGGACGCAGCCTGCTGGCGGCAAAGACGTTGAAGGTGTCGTCCCACTCAGGCGGGGCTTTCCCAGGGGAGGCCAGGGGGGTGGGGCTGGGCCTCGAGGCACTGGGGAGAGAGGGAGCAGGTGAAGGACAGTTTAGTGCTATGTCGGCTAGGAGCTCCTCGAAGAAAGGGTTGCTCTGCATGGAGGTGAGGAACGGGTTGGTGAGACCCGAGAATCCAGATGGGGTGGCTTCGGGGGCGGCGGAGGCAGCAGCGGCGGTGGCAGCAGCAGCAGCAGCAGCAGGGGAGGCAGCTGCAAAAAGGTTAGTGCTTAGCATGGGAGCAGCGGTGGGAGGAGGAGTGGGGAGGGCCGGAGCACAGGGGGAGCAGGGGAGGTGGTGAGGAAGAGCAGCTGGGTCAGGTTCTACCTGAGGAGACACGTCCAGGCTGTGGAGGGAGACAAAACCGTGAGCCTCCTGGTTAATGCCAAGACCGGAACCGGCCTTGCTGAATACCCCTCGCCTGCCCACCCCCCCCACACCTGCCTCGGGCCGGGTACCGCACACCACACCCACAAGGGCTGGGTTCAGGCCGGTATGCCAGGGGACAAAGGGAAGACCCCAACACATAATATGATTCAGGACTGCCCAAGGAGGGAGACGCTGGGCAGAGCTCATGTAATCCATGTCCAGGCAGGATCCCAGCCTCCGCCAAAGGTTCTTCAGGGGCTCAGAGGCTGAAGAGTCTTGTCAACACCAGACTTAACACCCACAGAACCAATCAGGTGTCTTACGGCCCCTCAAAGACAGAGAGGAAAGAAATACTAGCTGCGTGAAGAGGATAAAGAGGCCAGAGAAAGGCCAGGCCTAGAGATCCGGCTGGGCAAAGCCAGCGCGAATGGAAGCCCACAGGGTCCCTGGGATTCTGGCGGCTGGAACAGATGGGTTCTACTGACCTCTTGCAGAAACAGGAGGTAAGGATGGGGCAGGCATCGGACAGGACAGAGTGTCCATCAAAAGAACTCACCTCTCCTGTTTCTTGGAGGGGTACCATCACCTGCCCAAATGGATGGCAAGACCCTGCTAAGGCTAGCTCCTGTCAGGTGCCCACCTGAGGGTGCCCCTCCCCAAGGGCACCCACGAGCCAGTCTTGAAAGTAGCCCCACTCTGGAGATGAGGGCTGGAATGTAGCAGCAGCAGCGACTCCGGAGGTCACCTGGGGCCTCTTGGGGTCTTCCCCACACAGACCACTGGCTCCCCTGGGAAAACCATTCCATGGTAGTGGCCCTACACTCCCACAGATGCTGGAGAACACTGGCTGGCCTCTAGGGGAGGGAGCACGGCCCTGCACTTGCACCTCGCCCATGGTGCACGTCTGACTCATGCACAGGAACAGACTCAGAAACCAGAGCTCTCGGCTTCCTGGGGACAACCCCAGCAGACAGAAAACCAGGAAGATAGTGCACGCCCCAGTTTTAGCACGGACAGTGGTTGGCAGCTGCCTCGTGGCTGAGCCCACCTGTCAGGCCCAGACCTGGGTGGCCTCTCCTACTGCCTGCTTCCCATCTTCCAGCTCCCACTCTAATCCCCAAGACCCCCATTCCTTGATCCCTGCCCAAGTGAACATCCCGGGGGATTCCTACACCTCCATCTTCTCCACTCAAGCTGCTGCTTCTCATGGGGAAACACTGGGGGGCAAGTCCGGGGGTGGCAGAAGCCAGGCTTTACCAGCCAGCTGGTGAGGTATGCAGGCTGGGGTTGGGGGGGCACCTATGGAACGAGGCCAGGAATTCTGGAGCTCCCCAGGATTCTTCTGGGAACCGGGGCCCAGACAGAGTGGGCCGCACACAGAGCTGAGCAGAGTCTGGGCCAGCTTGTCTACAAATACTGGGGGGCAGACAATGGGAAGGACTCAAGCAAAGGTGGGCTTCCCAAGACAATCTGGGAGTCTGGGATTCTCACCTCATGGGTCCCAAACCCTGGCTTTCTCTGAAGAATCCAGCTTCCAGAGACTCTCCTGACTCTTTTGCCCTATAACTCCCCATTCAAGGGTGACTTCTCAGCCTTATACTACCACTTAAAGATCGGGCCATGGGGCTGGGGAGGAAGGTAAGAGTCCCATTGACTCCCACCCCGCCAGGCTTCCCAGCACTTCTCTGCCTCTGTGGTCCTGACATAGTGAAGATACTGAAAGAGGTCAAATCCTAGGCCCTGAGTCCCAACCCCCACAAACATCCCTTCCCCCTTTACTCCAAGCTGGCCACAGGCAGACCCAGGCATTATGTGCCTACCTCAGGGACGAAGGAGAGCAACAGACCATCACCATGTGGGTCAAAGCCCTGCCCCCAGCCTGCCCCCCGACTAGAGCACCCATACCGGACACAGCCCAACTCTACCAGCAGGACTCAGCCCACAGGAACAGGGCTACCGGAGCCACCTCTCTCTCCAGAACCCGTTCTGACAAGTGACCAAAGGCTCTGGAGGAAGAGAGCTCCATCAACATTAAATAGCACCAGGCTTAGCTCTGCACACTCCCCGCCCCTTTACCCTTGGCCTGGCCCCACTCACCCTTGTGGTCTGACAATAATCTGGCTGGCTGTCAAGACTGCAGGGCAGGAGAGCAGCAGGGAAGTAGGCTGGGAGCCCCAGGCAAGGCTAGCACCCTCCCCACCACTGGCTCCCCAGAGGTACACACAAACCCGTTGGTATGGAACCAGCGAAGGGCTCTCCCTAGAGGAAAAGACTCCAGGTGCCAGGCCCAGCAGGCTCCCAAAAGCCAGTGGCACCTGAGAGCGCCCCGTCCATCCCTCTACCCAGTGACACACACACCCCCCACCCGCTTCCCCACATACCTCCCTTGCCCTGGATCCACACCAGGGGCACACCTGTCCCCTCCCTACCACTCCAGCTGGCACAGATCAGAGACCCATTCCCATATGGGGTTATCTCTGCAGATTATGCTCTGAGAACAGAGACTGCCGAGCCAGCTAGCACAGTGCCATCCCCCCAGCACACAGAGAGGACTTCAACATATGAGGACTTGTCTTCTCTTTAAGAAACAAGGTTGGGGGAAGAAATGAAAAGTCCAAATGTCTCTGCCCCCACAACCTGAGAGAATAAAACTTTAGGGCCTGCAGGAACCTTAGGACAGCTGGTAAAACCTTAACACAGGAATGCCCCCTTCTCTCTGCAGCCTCCCCTGCTTAAATATTGCCGTGGCTGGGTGACAGACTGCATCACCAGGCCAGCCCTGCATCTGATGGACAGCTCCTCCCAAGGCTGAGAGGAGCTGCATGTCCTTGTCATTTCCACGCACTGGTCCCCAAGGTGTCATGTGTATGTGCCAAGGCTCTCCACCGGGCAGTCCCCTAAGAGGCCAAAGCCAGCCAGCCTTCGAGGCATGTGTCCCCCCAGCCAACATGCCCTTCAGCCCTCCCTCCGGAGGCAGGAGCCCCTGGGCCCTCCTGAGAGGAGCCTGATGTCCAGGAGACTCGACATACCCTCCCCCATCCACTGGGCACAAGGAGGTGACAGAGAAGGGCCCAAGAAACTCTAAGTAGGGACACCACATAATTTACCTTCCAAACCAGGACATTTTTACCACGGTAAAAGGGCAGTATTTACAACAGCAGGAAAACAGGCCCAAACAGGATGGATGGCCACACTAGCTCATGGTCACTGGACACATGTCATGTCCCTCATTTACCCCATGGGGAATGCCACTGAGACTCTGAGCTTTCAGCAGCCAGCACACACTCAGGGCTCATCAGGACCTCAATGTACTACTTCCAGTGAGGGGCCAGGACAGATGCACAGATGCCCAGAGGCCACCACGATATACTTGCCCCCATGCTGTACCACACTTACCCCAGTTAAAAAATACTTGTATCCCACACTTGATCCCCTACTGTACACAGGGTTCTGTGGTTAACGTGAGGAGGATGGGGGAGGCAAGCTCCGGTGGCCTGCCCACAGGGAGCTTATACTCCAAAAGGGTCAGAGAAGAATAGACACAAAGACAAGCCTGCATGGCCTTGACAGTCCTCAGACACACGGTACGTGGCTCATGCTGCCGCTCAGGACTCATGGCTCACAGCCCGGTGAGTAAGCGGCCGGTCCCACGGCTCAGACCTTAGTGTCAACAATCGCCATCCCCTCCCCAACCCAGGCACACATCCAGCCATGGGACCCAGCAGACTAGAGCCAGGTCAAGACGAAAATGAGGACCATCTTTTCAACCCCGCACACCCTCATTAATTTTCTCCCAGCCACTGGCTTCTCCGAAAACAGCCACTTTTTTCCTGGTTGCTGTGTGCCCAAAAGATTGCTTCAGGCCTCTCCGTGGGGCACCAGTGCCGCGTGGGAGCACTAGAGGGCGCCGCTGCCCTTTCCAGTGAGGAGCACCCAGCAATCCGCACTGGTAGCCCCGGGGGGCACAGGCACCCAGAACCTTTGGCCTGCGGACACACCTCAGAGTCCCGACAGGGACCTGCAGCTACCTTCAGTCACTCCGGTTCTGGGTGTCTGACTACAGCTTCCCGCCATGGATTAGCTCACTTCTCATTCTCTCCTCAAAAGCCCAGAGCAAGCCTTCTGGGCGAGGGCCAAGTGTTGTTTGTTTCTGGCCACCTTCCTGGCTCTGTCAAGGCCCAGGGCCAGGGCGATGCTGACAGGCTCAATGACCAGGTCTCGAGCCTATCCAGGCCAGCCCACTTTACCCAAAGAACCCCTCGCCCCTGCAGCTACGCCCTCAAATGAGCCCCTGGGAGGGCAGGGATCCCTGGATGCCCTCCATCCTGCTGAGGACAAGCTCAGAATTCAAAGAGAAGGGCAAAAACCTCAGCTGCCTTATGGCCAGCAGGGACCCAATTTGACTCTGAAGGGCAGTTGGGAGACATGGAGACACAGGAGAAGGAAAGCAGGGACTGTAAGCAAGAGTGAGGACAACCCCAACATCACTCAAAGTCTGGCCTGCAGGGGTCTGAGCCCAAAGCCTGGGCACATGCACAGAAATGAGCTCATGGGAGATGTCCGCCAGCGTCGATCTGTCCTGGAGAAGGCCCTGAGATGATCCACAGACACGATGAGCCCATGGTCTATGTTCCATCTGACCCAGGCCCCCCAGCTCCTCCCAGCAAATGCTCTGTCTGGGCCTCCTGCCACCTCCCTCCACAGGACCACCCACAAACCTAAGCCATCACAGGGCAGCAGGCCCATCCCCTTCTTGCCCATCTTCCCTCGGCTACAGGTGGCCAGCAGATCCCCTGGGATCTGATGAGCAGGGGCTGGGTCGCAGGGACAGAAGCTGACGTACCCAGCAGGGGAGGCAGAGAGCGGCATCAGCCAGAGACTGAGCCACTACACTGGCCCAGCTGCAAGGTGTACGAGAGGCACCAGGAGGCCAGGCCTGAACCCAGAAAGGCCTGGCATTTCTTTCCCCACCCCTCTCAGTGGACCCGAATTGCACAGGGAAAGAGAAGAACCAGGACCACAGGAGTCCCCTCCCCACTGCTGGGGAGTGGCTATAGGAGCCTCTCTCTGGACCCTTCCTCACATGCCCAGCCTTGGTGCCTCACCTCCTACCCACAGACCTGTCAACAGGAGCAGGGCAGGCTGACTGAGAGCAGAAACAGCTGCCCGGCCACACCAGCTGTCCAGCCACAGACGCTCCCTGTCCAGGGCCAGCTCCAGGCCCTTGAAAAGTGGGGACGTCTGCTCCCTGGACCCATGTCTGGCGGCCCTCCCTGCTCCCTGCTGGACAGTGCAGCAGCCTCGGATGGTCAGAGCTAGGAGGAGACAAAGGGCCGGGGTGGTGGCCGGGGCTGGGATACTGCGATTCGGTCATCTGAATGACCAAATGTATACTTCTCATGTGTATGGGTCTTCGTCCACAGTTTCTGGCTCAAGGCTTCCAAAACCCTTGGAATTTCCTGAGTAAGAGCATCTTTTAATGTCTGGTCTCTTGTCCTCCCTTCCTGAAATGCTGCAGAGCAGGAAGAGTGAAATGGGTGTCTCATGATTCTTAACAAGCCCCTTTCCACCACAACTGGGGTTTGTGTTGATGAGGGGACTTTTTAGAAAGCCCCTGAGGACCCTAAGGCTGGTTGCCAGGGAAATCAAGTATGAACAGAAGGGTGGAGCTTTCAGTCCCACCCTCATTTCTGCGGAGGAGAGGAGCTGGAAGGTGAATTGACCACCAATGGCCAATTACTTAACCACTCACACCTGTGTGAGGAAGGCTCCGCAAGAACTCCAAAGGATGGGGTTCGGGAGCTGAACACGTGGAGATGCAGGGGGAGTGGGGTGTCTGGAGAGAGCACGGAAGTCCTGTGCCCCTTCCCCAGACCTTGTCCTGTGTGTCTCTTCTACCAGGCTGCTCCTGAGTTACAGCCTTTTATAATAAACCACTGAAAGCAAAATGTTCCTGAGTTCTATGAACCAAGCGAGCAAATGAATCAAACCCAAGGAAGGAGGCAGTCACTAGGACCTCCGATCTATAGCTGGCTGGTCAGGAGCACAGGTGACAACCTGGACTTTCGACAGGCATCTGAAATAGCCAGTTGGGGGTGCGGGTGGGGTGTCAATCCTGTAGCTCTGAGCCTATGTGGGTCCGAGGCGTCTCCGGGTCAACAGTGTCAGCACTGAGCTGAACTGCAGGGCACCCAGCTGGTGTCAGAGATCGGCTTGGGCATGTGGGAAACCAGTCCCCACAGTGGAACTGGGTGCAGAATCCTAGTTAGTATTAGGACCCTCTTGAGAGCTCTGCCAGGGCCTGAGCTCAAGGACTCCTGCATCCCTTCCGAGGGTGAGACTCAGCACATTCAGAACACAGCAGCCGTCCTCAGCTTGCTATACCCCAAGAGCAAGAGATAACAGAGGGCCAGAGCCCCAACAGTGTCCAAGGACAGAAGGTTGGTAGCAGATTTTAAGGGAGTTGTCTATAGCCCCTCGCCAGGCCAGGGGCACAACTGAGTGTATGAAGAGAGGGGTGGGGGCATCAGTGACTTGATGGCATCTCTCAGAGGGATGGGGTCACAGAGCCAGCTGGGGCAGCTGGGGTGGGGGTGGGGGGTTGGAGGTATAGGCCCTGTCCAACCTCTCCACCTGCCAAGGCTTCCTGACCTTGAGGCCAGAGGGCAAGGGGTGGAGGCTGGGAAGCAAAGAATTGACACAAGTGGGCTTCCCTGCTTTTCTCCCCTTCCTCCCCCTCCCTTGGGGGCAGGTGTGCCAACTGGAGAAGGGAGACCATGAGGAGACGGGACTCCTCATTCCATATGGCCCCCAGAGCGCTGTGCCCTTGCGACTTACCTGTGTCCATGTTCCAACAACAAGCCTCAGCCTGGGGAAGTGGTACCCCCCACCACTCAACCATGCAAAGCCAGAGCCACAGCAGCCTGCCCAAGGGCCCCATCAGCTCCAAACTCCCTGCCCCAGGATCCAGGCTGCAAACACCCCAGCATGCTCCCCGAACAGCAAAGCTGCTTTTGCCAAGGACATACCTGGGTTTCTGAGTTGGTTCCTTGGCTTCTCTCAAGCCAAACCAGCTACTCTTGGCCTTTTCCTCCCCGCTGGATGGGTGGTGTGGGGAGGCCCCCAGGGTGGGACCCCCCTTCTCCCCCAGTGAGCCGCGGCGCCCCAGCTCGCTCCGACTCAGCCCCTGGTGGTGATGGTGGAAGAGACCCATCCGGGGCTTCCGCTCCTCCTTCCGGGCTCCCTCCTTCTCGGCCACAGCCTCAGAGGAGGCCACCATGGGCGTGGCAACCTGTACGGGCTTTCCCTCAGGGAGCCGGGCCCCCTCTTCCTCTCCGGAGCGGCTGGTGCCGGGGACCAACACTTTGGCCCGAGAGCTCAGCTCCTCCTGTCCTGGCAGCACCTCTGAGATGCTGGTGCGGCGGCTGCCTCTGCCCCCGGAGTCATCTGCAGGCCGAGCCCCCTCCTCAGCAGGCCGGGGAGACACGCTATGCAGCGGGCCGGAGGGTGGAAACGGGCCCGAGATGGAGCTGCGGTGCCGTGGGAGTGCCGGGGGCTCCTCATTGTAAATGTGGCTCCCGTTGACGCAGAGCGAGGAGCGGGAGGCAGTCTCCAGGTGGCCCTGCAGGTCCAGGAGGGATCGGGGCGGCGTCGCTCGCATCTGGCTGGCCTCATCGCTGTAGGTCCTTTTGTGGGTGAGCAACTTGGGGGACTGGGTGGCGTCCCTGCCTGAAAAGGAAGCACCCACGAGTAAGCAACAGGGAGAGCAGCCTGGTTCCTGGCCCGGACCCCCCCAACCCTCATCTGCCCCCCAGCGGGGCAAGGGCCCTTGCTCATGCACCTCCTTCGCTGGACAGCCAGCTGCTGCGGCTGGGCGAGCGGGTCAGGAGCTCGGCACCCGGGCCCTGGTAGGCCAGGCTCCCACTGGCAGAGGACAGGGTGCTGTCTGAACCCAGAGAGGTGCTGGACTGCGTCAGGGAGGACTTGCGCAGCTTGTTGCGGAGGAAGAAGCCTTTGGCTTTGCCCATCTTGCCCAGGCTGCCCAGCTCGGGGTCCTCCAGGGCACTGCTTGGGAGGATGGCCGAGGCAGACTCCAGCTCAAACTTCTTCTTGCCCTTCATCTTGTCCTTGATCTTGCTGAAAGGGGACCGCGGCTTGTCCTTCATGGACAGGTCAAACATGCTGGCGCTCAGGTTGTTTCGAGTGAACTGGATTGTGACTTGGATCTCTCCGCGCTCCTTCTCCTTCTTGCCCGCCTTGGAGTGCAGCTTGTACCACCTGGAAGAAGGGGGGCAGGGTGGAGCTCCGGTCAGGTCATGGTCAGGGCCCAGGCAGCCCGCCCTCCCCTGCAGGCATCCCTCACGGCCTTCTCCCCCACAACCCAGGCCTGGCCTTCTGAGCCACAGGCAGAGCCGAGAAAGTGTTTACATCTTGTCCGTGTTGGGGAAAACCACATCCTGAGCAGGGGAATCTCTGTGGTGCTACTGGGAAGGACCACAGTCACCATTCCATGCCGCCCTCCCATCCCCCTTCCTGGCGGCTCAGAGATCTCCCCGCTGCCCCTCCCCACTCCATCTGAAATTCTGAGGCCCAAAGGGGTGAGGCTGTGTGTGGGAAGAACTCTCTTAACCATCCAGGCCCCTGGGCTAGACAGACCCACCCACATTTCTCCCTGTTTACATCATCTCCTCGGGCTCATCCCAGCCGAAGCTCTGCTCTGAGACACCGGTGAGCTCAGGAAAGAACAGCGCATCAGAGGCACAGGGCTGGAACACGAGCCCACACGAACACACACCTCACTCACTCACGGACTGGTCCACACCCCACCAGGAACACCTTTGCACACAACGGCATACAGGGGCCTCAAGTAAGAGAACCTGGGGGGTGGGGGCAAGGGTGAGCATCTCGTGTGTATCATGATGGACTACAAGTGTCTTCACTCCCACGTACACACAACAAGCCTGGGGGTCAGAACCGTGACCCTGATTTATACAGCAGGAAGTTAGGGCTCAGAGGTGAAGTAACTCCTCTAAGAGCAAGCAGCCAGAAAGGAGAGAGGAGATGGAGAGCCAGTTTCCATCCCTCCAAAGCCATGTTCTTCCCACTACACACTCCCAGAGAGACCCCTGACACGTGACCACTGCACAGGGTAGGTGGAGGCCACCCTACAGGGGAGGGGTGTGCACGGAGCTCTTCCTTCCTCTGCTGCCCAAATCCTCCTGCCTGACCAGACTCCTGGCCAGCAGCAGCACACTTTGCTCCACATAGCATCTTGTGTGGAGCCACTAGACACCCCCACCCGGGTCCCCTCCCATTCTACTCAGCAGGCCATGCCCCACCCCCTCTCCCACAGATACAAGCACAGACGCTGCACAGAGAAACTGAACCAGAACCCTTCTAGACGTAGGGACACCAAGCCCAAATGATGGGCTCCGGTGCAGGGCTGAAAACAGGACTGACTGAAAATCGGTCCCCCTTTCTCACACCAGCACCCAGAATGCGTAACCTCCCTTGCACATTAGAGCTTAATACAACACTCAAAGACTGTGTTCCAGATAAGTTGGAGGAAATCTCCCAGAAAGTAGAAGGGCAACAATGAGGTGATGCTAGGTCAGTCCAAGGAGGTTCATGACCAAGTTACCTGTCGAGTCAAGAAAGAAAAGGGAGGCTGCTCCCACGTGTGAAGGACCTGGGAGTCCTCCCTCCCATCCACAAAACAAGAGAAAAGCTGAGCAAAAGCTGAAAATCAATAACTCCCTGGGGATTTTTAGGGCAGTAGAACTATTTTGTAGGCTACTGTAATGGTAAACACATGTTGTTATATATTTGGCTGTACCCACAAAATAGAAAAGACAAAGTTTTATATATAATATAAACTGCAGGCTCAAATTAATAATGATGCATTGGGATTGGTTCATCAGTTATAACAGGGTGCCACACTAATGTGAGATGCTAATAAAAGAAGAAACAATGGAGGGGGGAGGAGAAAGGCCAGAGCTAGGGAGTGTATGTGAACACTCTGTACCTTCCAGGCTTTTCTGTAAGCCTAAAGCTGCTCATCAACCAACCAATCAATCAACCAATCAATCAACCAATCAATCAACCAATCCTCTAGTAATTTAAGGAGATGGGAGGAGGACTGGGAGGGACCAGAGCGCACAAGGAGGAAGAAACCGGGCAAGAAATAACACAAGAAAGTCTTGAGGACCTGAAGGACGTGAGCAGCGGCACAGAAGGGCCACACGCATGCAGCACAAGGAACAGAGACCAGGCTGGGAGGTGTCCCGGTGAGGTTTCAGAACACCGGGCAGAGGAGAAGGAGACCCTGCAAGCTTCCAGACACTGGACACACAGGTTCGTATGTTCAGGAATTAGAATAACCCTGGGTCCTCACTCCCAACACTGGGTACCCTATGGAGTCGTGCCTTCAAAATTCGGAGGGAAAGAGTTTTCTACCTGGAATTCTAGACGCAGCGGGTGAAGCATGAAGGTGGAATGAGGCCCGGTGATGTCAGTGGGTCACTGAAGGCCTCAAGGTCATACACACTCAGTACACACACACCACACCCACACACCCCACACTCCCCACCCTCCCACACACCACCCCTCCCACTGCACACTACACCACACACACACACACACACACACAGAAACCACATGCTATACCACCCCCGCACCTGCCTCAGTCAGAGCTCTGGCGGTCTCTGCCCAACCCTAAGATCTGTCCCCACCCCCCAGGACCAGCTCCCTGAACTTCTCAGGCATAAACAGGTTGGGAGTGGGGGGATCTTCGGTATGAAAAGAGCTCTTCCCAGGGACATATACAGTTGCACCCATTTGGGACCGTCCATTAAGACTGCACCCTCGTGTGCCCATCATGGGTTATGCGCCAGGCCTCTAACGGGTGACCCACATCATGCCCCAAGCAGTGGGAACCAGGGTTGCTGGGTTTTCCCTCCTACACCTGAGAGACCCATCTCCTGGGCGGGCTGCTGCAGGACAGACGGCACAACCAGGGAGGGTAGATGGCCACACTCCAAGTATGGGTGCACATCTTCATGCTCTCATGGTAAGCAGGGGCAGGGAGAGGGTGGGAAGAGTGCAGGGAGAAGAGAGAGACTAAGAGACACAGATTGAAGACACAGGTCAGAGCATGTGTCACATGGGGGTGGAAGGGGAAGGAGGGGAGCTTTACTAGAAAAAATGAACCAGCTTGCATCGACATCCTCACACCCCTACTTTCTCAAGCTAACGCCTGACACTCAACTCTTGAAAGGTCAAGCCCTAGTCACTTTCCCCAAACCTAGACTAGGCCCTATGCAGCACAGGAAGATCCTGGGATGTGGGGCAAAAGAGTAGTGTCTGGACCTACCCCAGCCCACTAGACTCTGGGTAACTGGAATGGGCAGGCACACACATCCTTGCTAGGGCATAAAGGTCAGGGGCCCTCACAGTCCCAGCTGCTCCCTCCCCAAGTCACAGCATTAACAGTCACTATCTGGGTGGGGGGCAGCTACAGGGAACAATGACTGTCTACATCATAGAATATTTATATTTTTGTCCAGTTTGAATTTTTTATAAGGAGCATACATTCTGTCCTAATAGGGAAAAGAGACAGGTAAACGCCCACTCCTATCTTATCTCCTCAGTTGCTTGGGTCACAGAATAGGCTGCTGGCCTCTCTGTCCCACCCCCTCAGCTGAAGGGAGGAAGCATCATTAGCCCATGGTGACACCTGGTGTCCTCTGCTCAAAGGATCCTTGCCTCCTCCCCTTCTCCACCCCCCCATAAGGTCACCTCTGTTTCTCTGCCTCTCCTGCTCTTCCCCAGGGAATCTGGTCTGCTGGTCTGCCTGTCTCTCTCTCTCTCTCTGACCTACTTTTCAGGAAGGCCAGAGTGAGGAGAAAAGACTTTCCTTACCATTCTCTGAGACTTCCCTATCCAGAGCAGAGTTAGGCTTTGAATGGCAACTGGGCCCCAGCCGTTGTCACCCACCTACCTCCCTACCAGTCCAGGGCAGCACTGCACTGGACCCTGCTAGGCACCTTGGGTGCCCTGGGACTCAAGAGCAGGCCTTCTCCCAGGAGTATGACCCACACAGGCAAGGACGGCAAGGCCACACAAACACCAGCTCCCTGACAAAGGCGATATCCCTCCCCTCATCCCCTTGCTCCTGCTTCCTCCTGCCTGTCCAGATGGCCCCTAAGAGATGCCGGACCTGCCAGGCCCTGTGGCACACAGTCCCCTGCAGGCTAGAAGGCCACAGACATTGCTGGCGTGGGTTGATGATTCCTCCACGAAGTGACGGAGACTTTCTCTGTACAGAGCCCCACACGCAGCAGATCCCAGAGCAAACAGGCACTGGGTATCCCATCCACACAGACTGGGGCTCCCACAGAGAACGTGACTGCAGGGTCCTACGGCCCAGCCCAAGTCCCACTTCCTCTAGGAAGACCTCATAGCCGCAGCATCCTGGCCTGGCCAGATCCCTCCTCTTTCTGACCAGGCACACGCACTCTGAACCAAATTCACTCCACAACCAGACCAGACCACAACTCTGCTCTACGGCTAGCAGGTACTGTCATTTCCTGGGTGCCTGGGGTCTCCCTAGTGGGACTGGGTTCCCTGCAGATGCTTACTGAGTACCCCCCAGGTACGGAGTTACAAAGGAAATGAACGGTGCACAGCAGTAAATCTCGAGATGCTACAAGGCCTCCGTGGGTCCCTGCCTGCGCTCCCTCTCGCTTCCCTCTCGCTCTGCCCACTCCCTGCTTGGATGCCTATGGCAGCAAAGCCTGGTGACTAAGAGCTGGGCTCTGCATCCTCAGTGCACACCTGGGCCCCCTCACTTACCAGGTTACTTCCCTAACCCTCTGCTTCCTCAGCCTTCCAGTGGGAGACCCTCCTCTTGCGGCCGCCAGTCAGCATGGAGCCAAGGCTTCCCATCTACTCTCAGATGGTGTGACAGTCATGGCAGTGGGGCACCTGAACGTGCCAAGGCCCAGGCAGCATGCAATCGGGAGACAAGGGTTTGGCAGAGAGGATCACTGTCTGGGACCTGCCCCAGGCATGCTGGCAGCCACGCCATGGAGGCCGAGGGCATCGGAGAGGTTCCATTTCCACACAGCTTCCAGGGGAGGCCTGCCCTGCCACAGGCCACATGGGAGAGACAGGAAGACATGTGATGGGGTCAGAGAGCCGGCAGAGTCAGCCTTCTGGCACCCCCCCATCCACACCGATAGTTCCCCCTTTACTATCCACACTGTCCAGGAGGCCAG